CGGAGTCGTCCTCGTTGATCCCCACAAGAAGCTCTTTTGCCACTCAATACAGTACCTCTTCCCGGCAACCAACAATGAAGCCGAATATGAGTCATTGCTATCCAGGCTCGCCTTGGCAGAAGCCATGAGTCTAACCGACCTCATCATATACTCAGATTCCATGCTGATGGTTAAGCAGATATCCGGGGAGTTCGAGGTAAAGGAACCAAGATTGGTCCCATACCTGGGGTTGGTAAAGAAGAAGCTAGCCAAAATTCGGGCTAAAATAGAACATATCCCTCGAACAGAGAACGTACAAGCTGACGCCCTGGCCCGTCTCGCCTCAAGTGCCGGGGTGCAATGCGTCGAGTATGTCCAGGTCGGACACAAGGAGCAGCCATCCGTGTTCGGCATCTCTGTGCTAAGTGCCGAGCAGGCGATGGAAGACCAAAATCTGGGCTGGATGGACCCGATCCGTTCATATCTCGAAACCGGTGCGTTGCCGCCAGACCCAAAAGAGGCCAGGCAGCTTCGTACCCAGGCAGCCCGGTTCACGATCGTAGCCGGAGAACTGTTCAAACGGGGCTACTCGGCACCCTTGCTCAAGTGCGTGGATGAAGGAAACGCCGAGTACATACTCAAAGAAATCCATGAAGGCGTATGCGGGAATCATTCAGGGGGGCACGCCCTCGCACACAAGGTCCTTAGACAAGGCCATTATTGGCCGAATCTGAAGAATGACGCTCTCGACCTGGACCGGAGATGTGCTAAATGTCAAACCTTCGCACCCAACATCATCCAGCCGTCGCAGCCCCTAAAATCGATCCTCAGCCCGTGGCCATTCGCCAGATGGGGTGTCGACCTGATCGGCCCCCTCCCTACCGGAAAAGGCGGGGTGAAATACGCGGTGGTCGCAGTGGATTATTTAACGAAGTGTGCGGAAGCCGAACCGCTTGCTACCATAACAGAACAGAAAATGATAGATTTCTTATGGAAGTCCATCATATGCCGTTTTGGGGTACCAAACTCAATCATCACCGATAACGGCGAACAATTTGAAGGGAGGAAGCTGGAGTCGTTCTGCGAAGAACACCACATCAAACACTTCTTCTCGACACCTTACCATCCCCAGTCTAACGGCCAGGTCGAGGCAGTGAACAAAATTATCAAACAAGGGCTCAAGGTCCGGCTTGAAGCTGCGAAAGGGGCCTGGCCGGAAGAACTCCCGGGTGTACTCTGGGCCTACCGCACAACGGCCAGATCGTCCACTGGCGAAACGCCGTTCTCACTGGCATACGGGTCTGAAGCCATGATACCAGTCGAGCTCGGCGCCCCAACGTTTCGAGTAACCAACTTCGAGGAAGAATCTAACTCCGAGTCGCTGAGAGCCAACCTGGATCTGATTGACGAGCACATGACACAGGCCGAACTGAAAAATGCGGCGTACAAGAGACGGAGCGAAAGATATATCAACTCTCAGGTCAAACCGCGCTCGTATCAGGTCGGCGACCTGATGCTCAAAAGGGTGATGGGGCCCGATACCGGACCCCTCAAGCCGAAGTGGGAAGGGCCATACAAAATCCGCGAAGTCCTCCCTCACGGGGCCTATCGCCTCGAGCATCTCGACGGCACCCCCCATCAATACCCTTGGAACTCGGCGTTTCTGAAGAAGTTTTACCAGTAGGTCTAGATCGGTCTATTGTAACTCCCTATAACGTTTTGTAATGGAGAAGTAATGTGTGTAATTTCCCCTTATTATTCACAATAGATTGAATACTTAGGCGTAGGTCGGGTCGTAACAACGTAAGGTTCGGTGTCGGCCAGGATCAGTACGATGACCTGGTCGGCACCTCATAAAAACGTAAGGATCGGTGTC